GTGGAAAACGAACTGCTGGAGCAGAGTCACCAGATCGCCACTCTGGCGGAGTGTTTCGCGTGGTTGCGACGATGCGACGAGTGCATCCAGCGGCTCGAAGAACTCTGTCGCGTCAAGCGTCCTCGGTTCGCCGCCGGAAGTAGACAGTCCGCGGTAGCGAGGATCGCGCGACTCGCTGGTGAAAGGGTGCGAGTGGAGAGACGATTCGTGCACGTGGGCGCCGGACACAGTGCGGGACTCGTGTGGCGAGAGATCGATACCGCGTTCCACAATCGCGTTCTCACCGGTGCGGTAATTAACACGGATTATATCGAGCCGCAGCGATTTTTGGAGGACGCGGGCGATACAGTGCTCGAGCGAGTGCGAGACGCCATAGAGAGACACGGTAGCGTGAAGGTGAACACCGTGTTCAACGGCGAGTTTACGTCGGGTGACAAACGCGCTAATATAGGCATACCCTCGCGAAACGCGGAATTCTATAGAACGTCGGATGTGCGCGAGTGGTACGAGAAGCATGTCGTCGAAGCCACGTTGACGAAGTTCGGCGAGTTTGAGGAGCGCGACAGCGGGTGGGCGCTGTCGCGAATCCTCAATTTAACGGTAAACGTGAACAAGTACAATCCGATGCACGCGGGATGCTACGTCGAAGTGCCGTGGGAGATAGCGACGAAACGAGCGGTGGTCAACGTGCGCTCGACGGACAACGCGTGCTTCGCGTGGTCGGTGGTCGCCGCTCTGCACCCCGTGGAAAGACACGCGGATCGGGAGTCGTCGTATCCGCATTACGCAACGGTACTCGAGTTCGCGGGTATCGAGTTTCCGATGACTCTGAAGGACATTATGAAATTCGAACGTGCGAACGACGTGTCGATAAACGTGTACTGTATTAAGAAGAAAAGGGACGAATTATCTATTCTTCCGATACGATTGACCGGTCAAAAGATGGAAAGGCATGTCAACCTGTTGTACATGCAGGATCCACGAGACAGCAGCATCGGCCACTTCGCGTGGATAAAAAATCTGTCCCGCCTCGTGAGCTCTCAACTCAACACGAAGCAACACAAGAAATTTTTCTGCGACCGGTACGTATTGAGAAAATACTAAAATTGAATGTTGTAAAAAAAACAAAAATTAAAGTAAAGTATTTCATGTTTACAGATATCTACATTACTTCAGCTCGCAGGAACGACTGGATGCCCACACCGTGGACTGCAACGAGCTGAATGAGTGTGCGGTACAGCTACCGAAAGAAGAAATGGCTAACGTTCGGCAAACACGGCAACAAGGAACGTGTGCCGTTCGTCGTATATACGCTGACCTGGAGTGCGTTCTGGAAAAGATGGACCCGAATCTGCCTGAGTCTCAACACCATAAGGTACACAGCATAGCGTGCTATACACATTGCTCGTTCAACGACGCGTTATCGGGATATCGGTGTCGATAAGGACTGCGTCGCGTGGTTCGTCGAGGAATTCAAAGAATTGGCGCACAAAGTAAAGTCCGCTCTGTCCGTTAACGTTCCGATGGCAGAATTGACGCGCGACGAATGCGAAAGATATAACAGCGCTACGCACTGTCACATATGCGAAAAACCGTTCGCGGCGGAAGACACGCGGGTACGGGATCACTGCCACATGACCGGACGATACAGAGGTCCCGCGCATTCCAACTGCAATTTGAACTACAAAGATTCGCGTTGCATTCCCGTGGTGTTTCACAATCTATCCGGTTACGACGCGCATTTCATTATCAAGGAAGTAGCTACCGCGTACGAGGGACACGTGAGCCTACTTCCGGTAACGAAAGAGAAGTACATCGCGTTTACGAAAACGGTCAATGGCACGGAAATGGAAAAAAAAGATTATAGAACCAGCGTAACATTACGCTTTATCGACTCGTTCAAATTTCTCAGTTCGAGTCTCGAAAAATTGACATCTTATCTCGAGAAAGATAAACTACGGATAATGCAACGCGAATTTTGTACTCTACCAGCGGAACATTTCGAGCTCCTCACTAGAAAAGGCGTATTTCCGTACGAGTACGTCGACCGCTTCGAAAAGTTGGAGGATACGTGTTTACCGCCGCGCGAATCGTTTCACAGTTCGTTGACGGGCGACACCGTGTCTGAGAGCGATTACGAGCACGCCGTTGACGTGTGGCAGCGGTTCTCCATCGGAACGCTCGGCGAGTACAGCGATCTGTACCTGAAAACGGACGTCTTGTTGCTCGCGGACGTTTTTGAAAATTTTCGCGACAGCTGCGTCGCGAGTTACGGACTCGATCCCGCGCATTATTTTACGTTGCCAGGTTTCACGTGGGACGCCATGCTGAAACACACGCGTGTAAAATTCGAACTGCTCACTGACATCGATATGGTCTTGTTTATCGAGCGCGGTATACGCGGTGGCCTCAGTCAATGTTCCAACAGATACGCGCGGGCCAACAATAAGTACATGTCTTCTTACGACCCGTCGAAACCGTCGTCGTACCTAATGTACTACGACGTGAACAATTTGTACGGCTGGGCGATGTGTCAGCCGTTGCCCTACGCCGACTTTCGATGGGTCGACGAGCCGAGAACTTTGACTGGGGCGCGATCGCTTCGGATTCGCCCACGGGATATATCTAGAGGTCGATCTAGAGTATCCTCAATATCTACACGACCGGCACACTGACCTCCTTTCTGCCCGACGCGCGATAAACCGCCCGGCACGCGACACATAACTCCTCGCGACCTCACGTAAGAAGCGTTACGTCATCACTACCGCAACCTGCAGCAATGCACTCGCCACGGTCTTCGCGTAACGAAGATTCACCGCGTGTTGCAATTCGCGCAATCTCCATGGCTTCGCGAGTACATCGAACTAAATACGAAATTCAGAACCGAGGCTAGGAACGATTTCGAAAAAAATCTGTACAAACTAATGAACAACGCGGTATTCGGTAAGACCATGGAGAACGTGCGCAAGCACGTCGACGTGAGACTGGCGACGACATGGGAGGGTAGACACGGCGCGGAGGCGCTGATCGCGAAACCAAATTTTCACAGCCGCAGCGTTTTCGCGGAAAATTTAATCGCCGTCGAACTGCGTAAACTCAAGGTACAATTCTACAAGCCGATTTACGTGGGTATGTGTATACTCGACGTATCAAAAGTCTGCCTGTACGAATTTCACCACGAGTACATGTTGCCGCTGTACCGCGACAAGTGCAAGGTCATGTACACCGACACGGACAGTCTCATATACCATCTCGAGTGCGAGGATGTTTACGAGACGATGAAACATGATATCGCTCGATTCGACACGAGCGATTATCCCATGGACAACGCGTACGGTACGCCTCGCGCGAATAAAAAAGTGCCGGGTTTGATGAAGGACGAGAACAATGGCGCGATAATGACAGAATTCGTCGGGCTCAGGGCGAAGATGTACGCGGTGAGGGTGGACGGTAGGAGGGACATCAAAAAGATCAAGGGGGTCAAGAGTAACGTCGTAGCGCGGACGATAACGTTCGACGATTACACGCGATGCCTGAACGAACATATCGAAATGACTCGTAGTCAGTCGTGTATACGATCGAGGCTGCACGAGGTATACACGGTGTCCGAATCAAAAATCG